TTAACAGTTATAATACTATCATTTATAAGTGTATGGAGCACCGTACACTTATGTTCTAGAGCCTCTTTGGAATCACTCAGTTTTTTGTATTTAGGAAATCAGTCAGATCACTTGTTTTTTTGTTATTTCATTTTCATTGCTGTTGATCTGGAGCCTTTTTGGAATCACCCAGTTTCTTGTATCCAGGAAATCAGTCAGATTAATGATTTATTTATTTCTATTGACTTAATATGATAATATGATAAACGTATTAATATGAAATTCATAGATACCAGAATTAAATGAATGCGAACAAAAGAAGGAAGCTTTTCACATGTACAAGTCGTTTTCCAAAATCGTCAAGGAATTTGAGAATCAGAAATTCAATGACTGGGTGCAGGGTGCGTCGCTTTTTGTTGACAATATGATGAAGAAGAATATTCTTCGAGTTCAATTTACTCCAGAAGCTCGTAAGTTTTAAATTTTTAAAAAGTGATTGGATATACACACATCAAAAGTGTTTAGGGATCAAGCACGTTTTTGCCAATTACTGAAAATTAGGTTTCCTAATTTTTTAACACCGATGGATTTTTTTGGTCAATTTTATAATTTGAATTTGAAAATGAAATTGAACAAAAAATCCATTGGTGTTAAAAAATTAATTAACTTATGATAAGTGTATTTGGATAAAAATTAAACTCAAATTGGTATTTTTATTGTTAAGTTTTACAAATATTGAAGTTTGAAAAAGTCGTTTGTTTTTTTCCGCAATCATAAGTTCAATCGTTGGAGGAACTGGGTAAGTTTTTTTGCATTCACAAGTCTAATGCTTGTCCACTGTCTAACACTAACACTATATCCTATGTATGACTGTACTGTATTATACATTTACTCCTAGCAAGCTCCCGTAAATGATCGCCTCGTAAGCGTTTAGTTGATTATGCTCGTATGTCAATATGGAGAAGTTCCCATACAACCTCAAATGGCTTTACTTGATTACGCATAACAGTGAAATTGATATATATATATATATATATATATATATATATATACGGTGTAAAAACACGATTCTTAAAAATTTTCACGATAGAAAAAAAACAAAACTTCCCTCGACGTTTTACAAGAATGCCGCTGTATTCAATAGAGAACACGTTTTTATTTTATTTTTTATTTATTTTATTTATTTATTTAACACACATATCAATGACATTACTAATATATACAGTATTGTAAAAACCATAGCTGGTTTGACTCAATACTGGTGAGCTCATATTCTATCCTTACGCTTAATATTTATTTCACACACTTAATTCTAGCATATACCTAATTAGACCATATTGACATTATAATACACATATAAAAAAAAAACAACATGTGGGTATTTCATGAAAAAATTAAACTATTTAGTATAGTAAGTATATGATACACTTTTAAAATGGCTTTAGTTACGTTTGTAAAAAAAAAATTGAAATAAATCCAGCGGCAGGGAGCCGCTCGACCCAAGCAAAATGAACCGTATTAATATGGGAGAAATTTGAATTCAGGCCGAGGTAGTATCGACTCGCTTCGATTACTATCAGAATCACTATCGCCAAAACTCACACAATCATAATTTGAAATGCTATGAAATCTTGATAATGATCGGTCGTGGTTTCAAATTCAAAAAAGAAATTACAAATTCTGGACTGTTAATATAATTTAAACTTTACCCTGTTGGTATATCGTTGAAAGTTCAATACCATCAATACCTATTATAGCAAGTTACGACGAGAATTTTGAATTGAAATCTTAATCAATGTGCTGTCATCTAGCGGTTAAATGTTGAACAACGACGAATTCGAGATGTAAACGACCATTTTGTAGCGGTGTAAGTTTACTTTTGGTTCTTATAACGAAGAAATAATTACGATGAACAGAAAACTGAAAATGTAATAAAATATGATTTAATGAATAATTCTAAACAACACCATAGATAATGTTATAAGTGCGACTATCTTTTTTGCCCTCCGAAGCAGCGAAATCACATATTTCTCTACGATTTTCGAGGTTTTGCGCGAGATAATCGATACGACCATAACGTATAAAGCGAAAATGGCGGACTGAGCTCAAGTTTGCGGAACCCCGCGTACTCTCGGCACGTGTCATGCAAACTAAGCACTTCTACTGTATTTATTGTTCTGTGTACTTTACTATATTGTACGTGCGTATACTTCTAACAAGCTCCCGTAAATGAGCGCCTCGTAAGCTTTATTTGATTATGCTCGTTGTATGAACATAGAGCACAAGTTGTCGTAAGACGTTTGTGATATTGAGCACACTTATTGTTTTTCTTCTTATCGTATTGTTAGCATACACTGTAATGCTTGTCATCGTGATTAAAGGATTTGTCAATCGGCGTAAGGTTTTCGTCGATTGTTGCCCAGGGTACAGGTACAGGGGTCGGTGTGCCAGACGTACAGAAAAGGAATGGTATGTCGATGTTGGCCATACTGTAAGCGGCTACGGCAATAGGACTTGAATATTTGTTTCTTATAGGCTTTTTGTTAATTACTACTAGCGTGCTATTTGGAAAAAAACACCACAGATCTTTCAAAGCATTGCAAATGATATTACAGAGGAAGGGGGTCCAGCCGGTGTAGGTGCTGGTGACGCAGGCGGTGGTAGTGGCAAAGGAATGCAAGTTACTGCTGCTGGTAAAGCTCATATGCAAGCAAAAAAGCCGCCGGGATCCCGGGTTTCATTAAAACCAATGGATATTGTCAACAAAGAGATAGCTGAAAAACGTAGAAGGGATAAAGTTTGTAAGTATCTTTAATTTTTCTATGAACCAGAAACTTAACTAAATCAGTCGAGTACGTAACGAAAAGTCGACAAGTTACTTTTTGATATCATTGGAAAATATTTTATTATTGACAATCTCAATGTTGTGGGATTTCATACCCGATGACATCGTAATTTATTACTCTATTGTTCAACGTTTAAAGTTTGTCTTGTATTTCAGTGATGCTGATGAGGATACCCGGACAACATTATGAGAATGTTAGATCGCCAAGTTCTACCTCTCTTTTAGCCAAAGAAGGATTGGTAAATTGTTACTCAACTCTATCTAAAATTTTGTCAAAAGAATAGTTTTTGTATCGAGTTTTTGTTTTCTCGATCGCAACACATCAACCGCATAAAATATACTTGATTATCAAACAAACCAACGCGTCTGTTTCTTTATGGGTTCTGGCTGACTGACTATACAGTACAAACCACTTTGTTCATAAAAATAAATGGCTTTTTATTCCAATTTCTAAATATCAGCAACTTTCTCCAATTTCTGACAACTATTAAGTCGCTTGGTATTTTCGTGGTCCTGAAAAACTTATTCTGTAAGTGTACAACTGCCTCCGTGGCCAAACGGTTACCATGCCGGACTGCCCGCAGAGGACCCGAGTTGGATTCCCGGACCTGGAGAAATATTTGTAAAGCATACATTTATTTCTCTTGTGAGTTTGGGTGTAATTTGTTGTTGCCTATGTCTGTTATTAAAAATAGGGAAATCGTTTTGCAACTCGACATAGTTCACACGGAAATAAAAAAAAAAAACAATAATAAAGTACGTTGTTCAAGATTCAAATTATTATAGACTTTAAATTCGGAAATCCGATGACCGCCGAGGGACATTGACAAAATGTTATTTTTTCAATGTTACTAAAATTTCGAGCTCTTTAAAGTCCCTTACGTCCCGGTTCATATGGGATCTTGTTTGAGAAATCAAATATACGCAATTTAGATCCGAAGAAAGGAACTTGCGATTTGAAGTATTCGCCAAATCCTAAGAATTGGATATCATCGGAGATACAAAATAAGAATGAGTTCAATCAAAATAGTAAAGTATGCGTCTTAAAAGGTAATAAAAGTAGCTATATTTGAATAAACTTGGGTGAATTTTCAGACCGATGTGACGTGGCGCGACTTGACAGTACATAAGCTGATGCAAGAGCATGGATTAGAGTTTCAGACGTGTTTCGATCATAAAATCTTTCAAATTATTCTGGAAGCTGAACTGCTGGAGCAGTTAGGTAAAGTGTAAAAAATAGCACCTATTTTAATAAATATTCAATCTAATACATAGTTGTTTTGTCATCGGCCTCGTAAGTACGTTAGTAGATAAAAAAAAGTAGATGAGAAAAATTTCTACACGTCAGGGTTTGAATGGTGTATCGTCCCCTGAAAATGGCAGAAGGAACTGGCTACGTAAAAACCTTTTATAAAATTTTACCAACTTCTGCTGTCCCGATATTTACTTCCGTTACAATGAAGAGATCCTGGTACATGTATAAACTTTTAATAGTAGACATAGGAATGAAACTCCAGTGACTGTTACAAATTATATTATAAGATCTTTTCACTATAAACCCAAACAAATCGAAACCATGTCCTTTCTAGTCAGATATGTTTTTGACAATGGCGGCCGCCTATCAGCGTTCCGTTGATATCCATTTATTTCTTATTTCGTTAAAACGAATTCTTAACGACGCAAAGTAAGTTTTCTAATAAAATAAAATAAATTAATTTCACGATTCGCTAACACATGAAACTGAGGCGATCAGCACCAAAACAAATAAACAATTTTATTGAATTTTATGGGCAATTCACAATAAAAGACAATAATTTCGGATGTCCACATACTGTCCAAGTTAAAAAAAATACTGTATGTTTAATTTATAATAATGATAAATTAATAACATAATAATGTATAATGTTATAATAATAACATACAGTATTTTTTATTACTGTATTTGTAGAGTTTATACGAATACATTCGTGCACTTCTGCTGCTACACTAGTTTAATTTAGTTACTTCCATAGTATAATGTCCTACGGATTCTCACGGGATTCTCACAAAAACGAGTGATTCGTTCTGTATATCGTTTAGGTTCTCGGGTTTCTCTCAGAGAAAAGTTTAAGGAGACTGGTAACATGACTGGCATTACAGTACTTTTACTCAAATATTTTATATGCCCGTAAAAATGTACATAATTTCAATAAGAAAGAAGATATATCCACAATATCATTTCCTAAGTTTAAAACTTACATTAAAAGTATTTTAATTGAAAAGCATATTACAAAATTGAAGAGCACGTGTTAAATGAAGATGTATGGAAAGACAACATGAGTCTAGATTCCACACAGTTATGATTCAAAGTGTATTCCGTAGCATTAAAGTTTATTTCAAAGAGCAATCTCTAGAGTTTCTTGCTCGTTCTTCTCAGGGAGGTCAGCGTAGTGAGCGAGCACTAGCTTAAAAAATGACGTCAAGTCTAAAAATTTTACCTATGGAATGAATGTTATTATGACTTTGATTTTGAGTTTGACGGTGTTACAAAAACTATACGACACACAAAGTCTAAAGCGCGTGCTAATTCGTTACACGATGGGATGTAACTACTATCCGATCATATAAAATCCTGAAAACAAGCTAAATACTCCCCTTATCGCACGTCCTGTAATCTAGACTCGCGTTGAAATGCCTTACCTGCAGTGCTAGCGCTCATATTATGTTTTGATATTCACTGTACTTCTTATTATACACTTTTTATAACTTGTTACGTCATGGATCAATAACTCAAGACTAGATGTCGCGACAAGTACCAAATAGCTATTTTTGTAAGTAATTTGTTTTACATTGACGAGGTGCAATTTATCAAAGCTATAGTGATAACAAATTAACCAACTAGATGGCGCTTATTGCACAGATTTTTATGGATACTGCTGCACTGCTGGTTGATTTTGTTTGTTTGTTTAGGGTTAGCGCCATCTATCCATAATAGGAAACGTTTGTAACGTACAATGCCATCTATTGAAATGTATATTTGTCAAAGTTCAGAAAATAATTTGAATAATATTACAAAGAAAAAACATTTGACTACTTGTATTTCATATTAAAGAGGAATTGAATGAATGAATTAACGAACGAAAATTGTGGAATTAATTGATATTCACGACCAATTACATAACATAAACTACTTCCAGGCTAATTGATCAGTGCACTCGAGATATCGTCTTATGTTCACTGATTTTAACCTTTTTCAGAGTTACGATCTGTAATAAGGTTATCATGCTGGGCTGCCACGCGGAAGTTCCCAGGTTCGATTCCCGGGCGGGGAGAAATATCTGAATGGAAAATACATTTGCCCGAAATAACGTTTGCATGAACTTCCATAATCCCGAAAGTATTTTTTTAGGTTTTTCGGGAGAAATATGTGTATGGCCTACATTTATTTCTCTCGTGAGTTTGGGTGTAATTTATGGTTGTCGATGTATGAGTCCATGGCACCCGCGACACAGGGTTTCCCTAGTGCAGGGCTATGTTGAGTGTATGTGTGTGTGCAGTCTCATGAGTTATTGATCCATGGTAACGTTTAAGTTTTGTGAATAAACTTAACGTACATCCATATACTTCAAACATACATACGTATACTTCACGCCTTTTTCCCACCGCGGCTGGCAGTTTCAACAGTCTTCAACTTGATACGGTCCTGACTCACATCTTTCGCTTCATCAACACGCATCAGAACGCATTTTGCTAGCTTCTTCCGATCGGAAACTGCGTCTTTTCCGAATCGAGGCGCATAATTGCGATTCACATTTGTGAGACTCGACTTTTGATATATGAAATCGGAACAATAGTTGATTTAACTCACAAATTACGAAGATATAATAAGAATCAAGTCCAGGAAACCCATCTGATTTCGAGACTCGGATGGGCTACCCGATCGGTTCGATTCAACATGCTCGTCTTTCTTTAGGATTGCCTTAATTTGGTCATGAATAAATTTATTATTATTATTGTTAGCTTTTCAAATTACCACAGTTCATACCAAAAGCAAACGCCAATTACTTTTAAAATCTTGACTCGTTCAAATCTCAAGTCATTAATGTTATTCCCCCAGGTTTTGACCTTCCAACAAACATAAGAGACGTGGCTATGCAAAAGGACCGACTCTATTATGAACTCGAAGCATTACAAGAAGTTATATCAAATTATAACGCCTGCACGAACACTCTTACGCGATCTGAGACACATCTCATGAAAAAGCATCTATTAGATATGGAAAGGCATATTTTGCCTGGTCTGACCAGAATATCATGGACTGCACTCGGAATAAAGGATTATATTAAGGATATTACTAAAGGTGCCTGGCTTGTTTTCCTGTTTAGAATAGAAATGTATTATAGAATATATAATATAGAAAAATAATTTACAATAAGAAATAATTGTGTGTCTGACAACTACACGAATTGTCTGGTTTCAAACAAGAGAATTTCCTCTGTACTGTTGTGACGATGCGACCTCCTTTCATCGTCATCCCATCTTTTTATCGCCCTCTTCACTGGTTCCTGGTCAATTACTTTTACAATGTTGAATCGTTCTCTTATTCTTTTTCTTCATCATTCTGTCTTTGCTTCGTTCGTAAATCCCATCAAAATTGTCGAAGAGAAAAGACGTGTTCTCCAATCATGTAAACCTAACTGCTTATAAAGTAGTAATATTATGTACTAATACAGGCCTTTTTGGGATAAGTGTCTACTTTATATTCATCCATAAGCATATCCGTATGTAATTTAAGTTAGGGAGTGTTATAAAGTATTGTACCCGTGTTTTATACCATTGCTTTTGTTACAGCCTTTCTTCTCCTTTTTCTTCAACTTTTCTCTGCTTTGTTATTTATATCTTCTATAATAAATTCATGTGGACCAAGAGTTACTCTCATTATTACGCAAGTCCCATCGTGACACTATGTTCAAATAACCATTTTAAATAGCAAAATATAGAGCACAAAATTATCTTTTAAAAACAGTTAAAATTAGTTAACGTGTTCGACTTATCGGACCTTATCCTAACTATGCATAGCTGAAATATCATTAAACAATTTCAATATTCTAAAACTGGGTTATGGTTTTTTATGTTATCCCAAAAAAATCTTTTGTCACTTAGCCACGTTCTAGTTAGCGGGCGGTAGCATAAAGGTCATCGAACTGGTCCCACCGAGAATCGAACTCGGGACTTCCTCATCCAGCGCCTACAATATAAACCGTTGGACTACCAAGGTCGTCAACACGGACGGTTATGTTATACGTTGTTAATTTAAATAAGCTGAATATGAAACCAAATGTTTGGGACATTATAATACCTAAGCTAACCAATTCATAATCCAGGTCAAAATTCTCTGCAATCTGTACACCAGCAACTCAAGATGGTTGAGAAGGAAATTCTGTTCATGATAGAACAGATCGAGATCTTTGATTTGTTCCCGGTCGTTAAACCGAAGGATTATGTGGATCCTGACACAGGCCAAAGTGACGATACTTGGTTGCATCCTTGCAAGGTATGTAGTTTAGTTCTGGTTTCTAAAAGAGGCACTTTTTTGTCTTCAATCACAGTTTTATTGACTAAGTGGCTTGATATTTTCAAAAATTGAAAGTAAAGATTCAAGAAAGTATCCGTAATTAGGGAATTCCGCTTTATACCTATACGCTATATAAATATGGAAGCGTAAGTGTATAAAAAATATAGTACTACTAACCAGGGCCACTACAGGGACATGAGCATTATTGTAGTAGCTGTAGAGCTCCTTGTGAAAGAACTCATCGAAAATACTATCACCATTCCTATTTTTGCCGCCAACCAGTATGCTCACATTACTGCGTTCCAGTTTTGAAGTGTAATGACGTTGGTGAAATTACAGGCACATGAGTCTGGTCAAATTGTCTCAGGGTGACGGATACAGTGGCAGTGCCCCTCGGGTCTTTGCTATTTAATGTCATTGCTAGCAATGGACAGGCGCGTCGCTTCCCACCAGACGCACGACTTGTTCGTCCCATCGCCGCTTATGAAAGGGTATCTCCATAGGAGCTCATTTCGCGCCTCCGCAGAGCACGACAGGGTTGGATATGTAAAATATTTTAACTTTTGCCAATATACCGATATCCTCACAATATTTTAGTTAATTATTATAATATCAAGCCGTTCAATCTCAGTGGGAATTACATTCGCAAGAAATTTGCCTTTTCAAATTGCAGGCGTATTTTGTGGAATTAGAGAATGAACGCACACATCGAGTAGCTATGATTGCAAGGCTATACGAACGTATAGGACCTATACTCAATAAGCTCGAGTACCTGATCCTCGGATCCAGTACGGGAAAGTCGGTTGTCATGCAGTCCTATTACACATATTGGGAGAAGAAGATTTTCAAGGCTCTTGTTACGTAAGTGTAATTTGTGCTATCGATAAAAAAAATTAAAACACTTTTAATACTTAAAGAAATAAAATTGCATGTATTAAAATAGTGTTGCATATGATTTAGCATATGAATGGCCAACTCGTAAACTGGCTAATAGCTAAAATGAGGGCTGGCTAATTCACACATCAAGCCACACATTGACGAATCTTGTTCCATCTTGTTTCTCTTCTATCTTCCCCTCAATGATCACACTCTGAACATAAGTAATTGTTTTTTTTTAGATTTACATATGAGAACCTGGAAGAATTTCAAGATCTCTTATCAGGGAAAGATCCAATGTTTCAAGTGGACGCAGTTTTGGTTCCACCGGACATAACCATGCGGCCGACACCTGTAGAAGTACAAAACATCGTGGGATATGATATCAAACATTTTCTTAACAGGTCTTTCTTATATTTACTAACTGACTATTCATGCCAAATTGTACCGTTACGACATCGCCATCAAATTAGTACCTAGTAACATTAAACGTCATAGCCTGCCGAATCATCCCGAAGACTGTCGAACTATCCCGAAGATTACACCGACATTTGTGAACCGATTTCGTTGATTCTTTTTTTTATTTCCAGTTTAACTAAGTAGTGGTCCCATTGAAATTAGAAGCAAATATTCCTTCTACAAGGGTAGCAAATTAGGGGATGAATCCGGTTCACTGAATTTCAATCGTTTTCCGTTAACCGATTTTAATAAAACTTGGCCCATGGATGTAATATGACCTTAGAGCTGATGTCATTATGGAAATGACTGGCAGATGAGAGGAACTCCTCAACAGTGTACACCAGCTACCTTCTATTTAAGCTCCTATAATTCGTTTTGATGAAGACTTCAGTTCAGTTATCGTTAGCGGATATATAAACTTTTGAGGTCAGTTTTTTGTATAATAAAGTTAATATGAATTAACTGTTCCAGATTGACTTCTTTTCCACGTTGGATGAGAGACACATGCCTCTGCTGTCCACCGCAGCGTATCGTAGAAGCCACTGGAAACGAGTTCTATGTATTCTCTTTCTTCGAAGATATCCTGCGTGTAGTTTCCATTAATGACGTCACGTTGCTAATTCAGGACACCATTTATAGGCTTACGCAAGACATACAGGCTTATACGCAGAAGTGAGTCTCTATTAGCTTGATTTATTAGCTAATATCTTATTGATAAGGATTAATAAACATTTTTACCACGAGGGTGACTATTAGGTTCTAAAGTGAAGTCACTAGTGGACCATACAAACTAAATACTATAACGGTAACCGCGGAAATTCCCGTAATTGCCGAAAATTATTCGGAAGACGCGCGACCTGTTTTTTTTGCTCCTATCTAGTTTGTACGTTACACTGCTTCCATTCCATTACATGGCGATGTAAATTGAATCTTGGATTTGTCGCCTGGTAACAATAGCTATGGAGATCATTGCTTTTTTTTGTTTGAAAAGTTTTAATTTGTGTTTTGAATAGTGTTTAAAAGTCAGAATCGAGATTCACTGTAACAAAAGTATGAAAATAACGAGTTCCACAGATGGCATAAATATCAGCACATGTGGAGTTACGACAAAAATCTGTCCTGTGAGAAATACGTCCAAAAGAACGATCAAATTCACAAATACGACGAGAAATTCTTCTTTTTCGAAGATATTATTCAAGATTTAGAGAACCACGTGAAATATGTAGACCTGGGAAGTATCAGAGTAAATCTAAGACCCATCATCAAGCAAATACAGGAGCATGCGCAAGATTGGATTAATACGTTAGGAAGATGTGTATGTACGAAAACGCGAATGGACATGTACGATTTGAAAAATCAAATTGAGGTAAATAAGCTCACAATATGTAAACTATTTGTAACAGAAATGAAAGAGGTCGCTGAATCCGAAAGCAGCCTATATTGACCCCCAGGGGTCCTTTCCAACCTTCCAGGGGTCTAGGTCAGCGAAAACAAAAGTATGGGGTGCATTAGATGTTAATGGGGCTCCATGAGAGTGGATCCCATTTAAGCAGGTCGTGACTAAAAATTCGGCTGAAATGGAATAATCCACATTACACATACAGTACTCACAAACGTTACTTAAAATAGACACATAAATTACTTATGAAGTTAACTTGTCGCAACAAATGAGATGTGGAGCTCCATATCGTATTTGTTGCGACTATATTCGGTGTGATTTTATTTATCTACAAAATGTTTCACTCTTTAGTTAAACTTACTGCTTCAGCTGTAAAAACACACTTTAAGTTTATGAATTTGTAAAAAAAATCTACATTAGGAAGGAAGGTGGTCTGCGAAAAAATAAAATAAATGGCACTTGATCTAGGAGACAAAAAAGTTTACGAAGCTTTACTCTATATAAAATTGAAAGAGTGCTACAAATGACAAATTGAAGTAACCTTTATGTATTTTTGTAGAATCTTCGTCAAATAGTGAACATGAATATCAAGGGGTTGGAAGATTTCAAATTGGTGATGGCGACGATATCGATGGTGCAAGCCATGACAGTGACTGCCGAAGTAAAATATCGTGGCATGGTTGAGATGTTCAACATGTTGCGACAACATGGTATTGAAGTAAGTATCATTTTTAAGAATATAGACGACTCAGGTAAACGTTGTACTATTATTTTTAAGGCTTTAACATATAGGATCGGATCACGTTTTGTATTTATGGGAAACTCTCCTACAATGTGTGAAAATATTTGCTGTTGCATATGGTTCTTCTTTTTATCATACCAATGGCATACACTATACCAGAAGTTATTGCCGCGTAGTCGTCATGCTGAAATGTGGAACACATTTGCTATCGTCTTGAAAAGATAGGTAATTGTCGAAACGTACTCGCCAATTGTTGTCTAGGGTGCGCCAGACGTACACAGGCATTGAGGACATAAATGTACTCGATGTGCACAGGACATGAAACACGCCATTGCGAGAAGGCGCCTTTCGCGGACCCCAGTATGTTTTAGTTCAGTAGCTGTCTGGAGGGAGAGTCCCCACATAACCTCCCTGGACTATAAAGATTCCCCCCCCCCCCTGTAAGAAAAAAAGAAAAAAGGTATAGTTGAGCTCCTTGTAAAAGAGCTCGTCCAGGGAAGTACTGCCACCTTACCTATTTCTGCCGCCAAGCAGTAACGTGAGCATTACTGCGTTCCAATTTTGGAGGGTAAGGGTGATAGTGAAATTACAGGCACATGAGACTTGTCAACTTATGTCTCAAGGTAACAGGCGCGGTACCAGTGACTCTCAGATTTTTGCGACATAAAGCTCTGCAACGCTGTGAGCAGGCGTGTCTTAACACTAGGCGCAAATCGTCGTGTTCTTCCCGTCACTTGGTCAAATCACTTAGATGAGCTTTTGAGTCGTAGGCCCTCACAGCGCAAGCGTAGGTACTACAAGGGTGTAACGTTTCAGAACAAAACGGCCATAGTCTGCAGTTGTAAATAACTAGAATTCGTGCTCAGATTGTTTGAATGCTCTATGTAATTTTAACATTTGACAAGTGAATATGCATTTCAAATTTTGTTTCCTCTAAGGTGACGGCAGAAGATATGCATTTTGCTAAGAGTCTAGAAGCGTCATGGGGCGGACTGTTCCAAACCTGTATGTTCCGTGCAAATACCCTAGAAGCTACCAAGGATAAGTTCTCTAAGCTCAGTGTTATTGAAATAGCCAACTTCTTGAAGGAACTAGATGAATTCGTTGAAAAGTTCGACAATGAAGGTCCTGGGACTGTTGGCGAAGATATGGAAAGAGGTCTTTTACTTATGGAGGTGAGTTAATTTTACAGTATAATTGATAAAATATTCTTTTTTTGCACATAAAATAAATACTTAGGTAAGTACTTCTCGACTTTGTGTTGAAAGCACGTTCATAGTCCCTGTATAAGAAAAACTTTCTTTCATTTTCAGTAGGTATGTATTGATCGATGTAACAGAAAACTTATTTTCACTAAATATAACGATGTTTGATATAATTTCAGAGGATATAATCAGTCATGGGATATAATTAATAAGTGATATAACAACAAAAGACATAATTGCATTGTGTAAAGTATAAAAAAGTTAAGTTAATCGTTTATTATTATATCATGCTAGAATGTTGTGTCAAATGTCATTATACCATAAATTAATTATATCCGTTGAGCGATACTTCGATCATAAATATGTCGCCCACATCACTCTATCAGTACCCATAGTAAATTTACGGCCTTTAGTATTGAACCTTACATTTTCTGGTAACAACATATATAAAGACTTCTCTATTTTAATTTCTGCTATATGTTTTAAGTAATGTCAAAACGCAATACAATTAGAAGTGATTTGGCACTTGTAAAGGGTATTGCAGGCCACAGTTCATATTGGAAAATTTTCTAGTCTATACTGAATGAATTTCCTTTACGATTAATGTAATAATGTTCGTACAGGAATACACCAAATACTTCGATGAATTGGAAGCCAAAAAGAAACTGCTTCAAGCTGCAGAACAACTCTTCGACAACCCTCTTGCAGATTTTTCCAATTTCATGCGAGCAAAAGCAGACTTCGTTGCTATGGACCAGGTTTATAAGATTTACAAAGCACAGAAATATGCTAGAGAAATTTGGGCGAGAACTTTGTGGGTCAATCTTAATCCACTGGCTTTAGTGGATGGCATTGAACAGTTCTTCAAAGATTTCAGGTGATTAGTTTTCTGGCGTGTAACATTTTTTAAAGGATTTGCGATCAATTATAGAAATACTCATGTATGTTGCCCGATTTTCAGGAAATTGCCCAAAGCTGTACGGCAAACCGGTACCGGTATGATGTTGGACTTAAAGATGAAGCAATTCAAGGGTGTAGTGCCTCTTATGGTATCCCTCAAGAATGAGGCTATGCGCGAGCGGCATTGGAAGGAGCTTATGAAGAAAACAGGTAAGCCGCCCGTTGATGTGACCTAACGAGCTAACTGATGATTCTGGAATTACCAAATGAAGGATTCGGTTGAGCTTTATTTACTCTAATATTAAATTAGTTTATAACAGGTTATAGAGGTGATTATAGAAGTTGTTAACACTTGCTTCAAGCGAATGAGGGCGTCGATAGTTATTATATATAAAATTGTAATTCTAGGTCAGGACTTCGACATGTCTCCTGAGCGATTCACTTTGGATAATATGTTTGCCATGGAATTGCACAAATACCAAGATGTTGCTGAACAAATTGTGAATCATGCTATTAAGGTTAGTGTTTCTCAATTTCTAATAATTTGTGTGTATTTTAGACTATGTTAGTAGTAAATAGGAACACTATAATCTAATAGTATTTTAAACTGTAAACTCTGTAAGGTTTGTTTATTTTATTTATTTTCTGTAAACATTTTACAAAAATAAAAATTTACTTTAATTGTTTTCACATTGCTACATCGGTTTGTCTGGGTGCTGCACAATCCTCTTAATATAGGATATGGCGTGGCGCCTTAATGGGATTATCGAAAACACGACAGAACTTCTTACAGAGTGTAAAATTAACAAAAAAGACGTATTTCACGTAAAATTGGGTTAATAAATAGTTTATTTAAAATAAGGCTATTAAAAACCCTTGCCCTACCCAATATTCCAAAAACTATTTTATGTGATATCAATAAACGTTGCGCCTAAATATGTGTCTATATGTTTGTTAAAATTATTATTGAATAGTTTTTTTTTCACACTAGGAATTGGCTATCGAGCGTGGTGTGAAAGATATCCAAGAGTCGTGGGCCGCTATTCAGTTCACAGTGATGCGACATTTCAACCGCGGTGAAGACCGAGGTTACACACTGAACCCTTGTGATGAGATCACGGTAAAAGTAGATGAAGACGCCATGTCATTGCAAAGTATGGCTGCTTCACAGTAAGTAACGATCTGTTTACCTCCGGTTTTGTTTTTATCCTCTTAACAAGCAACTGGATTCTCCCATGGCGTGAAGCTACATTGTTATAGAGATTACGTTTATCCAAATTCAATCTTTCAGATTCATCGGTCCGTTCCTGAATGTAGTCCATACATGGGAGCGCAGACTCTCGCTTATCTCAGAGGTTATTGACGAATGGTTTGCAACGCAGCGCAAGTGGCTTTACTTGGAGGGCATTTTCGTTGGTGGTGATATACGCGTCCAGTTACCTGAAGAGGCGAAAAAATTCGATGATATTGATAGAGTATTCAGAAAGGTTTGTCATTTACCTTATTTGATGACACAAAACGACGACTTTTCCACATCCAGAACAAAGTTAAATTTTTAAGGTTCTTAAGAACTATCACAGCTGAATTTATCATACTAATAATGTAATTGTGTTGTGTTCGTACATGTCTTTTTAATGACACTCATCTCTGGTTCATTTGCTAGATCATGCTTGACACTGCCAAGCGCCTTAATGTGGTCGATTGCTGCACAGTCCCTGGAAGATTGGAGGAATTCATTGCTTTGGGACTAGGACTGCAAAAGTATGTTACTGATACATACCTTTCTTTATGCAGATATTAAAAATCTTTACCTACTTCTTTTGCTTCACGAATGATTCGTTCTATACGACAACTTGCCTTTGCCGTTTGCATTCTTTAAAATTTACCGACATGTTGTTTCTTGGTTTTTAGATGTCAGAAATCATTGAATGATTACTTAGATTCCAAACGGCGTATATTTCCGAGGTTCTTCTTCATATCTACTGATGAATTACTTTCCATTCTTGGTAGTAGTGAATGCAGTTGTGTACAGGAACATATGATTAAGGTACGAGGTTTTTGTATTTACGTTTATTACTATAAAATGAAATATATTTATGTCTAGTGTGCAGCTGTCGTATGATGGCTCAGCAGTCTATTTAGTAAATTATAGACTATGCAGCTACTGTTTCAGGGAGTCCTTTGTCGTAAGATTATGTGATTAAGGTATTGTAATCCCAAATTTTGTTTCAGATGTTTGATAATATTAAAGCTTTGGAACTTTATGTTGACCATACTAATAGACCTGTTGCATCTAAAATGATTTCCGCCGAAGGAGAGGTAAAAATTCTAGTGTAGTATTAGCAGGTGTACAATTTACGACTGTCTTAACACATTATAAAATTATGAATTGTTGATCTTGACCATGGAGTATATAACCAGAAATAGAGACGAAATGTCATTTAATTTGTTTCAATACTATTCTGCTAAATCATTACTGTGACAACTGCGCTCCGATTGGCCAGTCCGAATTCGCAACAATTGATGGGTGTCGTCAATTGCTTCACTTCAAATCGACCACCTTTCCTGTAATGGACAAAAATGGCAAAATTACATATTTAACATTTAATTACCGAGCTCGGGCGGACGTGCGTGCGTGCGTGTGTGTGCTAAAGTATCTGCGGATGCTCGCTCATTTCATGGAACTTGCCGGCTGTTGAAGCCCGTCGAAACCTTAGCATCCGCTATTATGCCATCGTCTATTTGTTGTCAATCAAGGAATGCGAAAGGTTGTGCCATATAGGTTACTACAGATTTCATAGTACGTTCTCTTCGGACGAATACATATTCATCGCTGCATATTCAGCATGCATTTTCGTCGCTGTGCTTCTTTAATGAATCGTGCATAAATATTAACGGTAACATGAAATCAAATTACAGATAATGGAGTTCCGATACATTGTATACACCGAAGGAAGAGTTGAGGATTGGATGAATTTGGTCTTGAATGAAATGCGTAGTACGAATAAATTTATCACCAAAAAGGCGATTTTCTACTACGGAAGGAACTGGAAAGTGCCCAGGTACCAGGCAGGCCCAGGCCCTTTACAGGTCCCATGGTCCTGTATTGGGCCCGAAACGTTGGTTTGTTTGAAAAAACAAATATACGCGATTTAAATCCGGAAAAACAGTTTCATTTCCTATGTGTAACAATCGCGAAAACCTAAGAACTCGAAACATGTTATATATATATATATATACACACATCAAAAGTGTCTAGGGATCAAGTGAATATTTT